TCCGTCTGGTCACCAAGGGGTATGCCATCGTTGCTGTTGCGATTCTCCTCTTCTGCGGCGCTTATATCTCCAGCAGATGACTTGTCTGGAAGGCTAGTCTCATCGAGGTTACCAGTAAGCCATTTGCCGACCTCCTGGTTTCTCTCCTCAATCTCTCGGCGATTGATGATCTCATTGATGCTCGCAATCTCCTCCCCAGGCCGCCTTTTTGGGTCCAAGCCAGCGAGGCCGGTGGCAGGGTCACGGCGCCATTGGCCCATGGAATCCCTAGTAGCAGTAGCAGCCATGCTGGCAGCTTGAGTTTGCCCCTGGTTGACGGACGATGTGATCAGGTCACCTGCGGACTGGAGACCGCCACGCACCGTCGAGGGGCTATCTTCAAAAGAACGCTCAACGGTGTGGACTGGTCCGTTGTTGTCCTTGTCCCAGACCGAGATGGTGACACGAGGACTCTGACACCGCATATCGACAGGAGCGGGGGCTAAGCCGTCCTCGCTAGACCGTCCACTGTCTGTCTGGCTTGGGGTCAACTGAGGCGCCGGGATGACGAGGGGGTTGGGCTTGAAGGCTTTCTGGAGCTCCTGCGGTGAGATGGAGCTTGGTAGCTGATGCTGATCGGGTCGCGTGAGTGTCGCTCTCTCTTCACTTCGCGGCGACAGCGTGTGGACAGAGGCAGTTTGGTCTGGCGTTAGAGGGTAAGAATCGTCGTTGGCATTGTGTTCCTGCTGAGGCTCAACTGGTGGGGTGTTGTTGAGCGAGAGGTCCCACACGCTCTGGTCGTCGAGGAAAGATGGCGTGCCGACGTCGGGATTGGTGAAGTTGGCACCGAAAAAAGGGTCGTCGTCAAAGTCACTGAAATCGCTGGACTGGTAGATGCTCAAGGTTGAAGTGGACCCGGCAGGCGTTTCTGAAGGGTTCGCGGGCGAGAGTGAGTCGCTGTTGACGCGGGACAGGAAAGGCGACAGCAGGTTGGAGTCGATGGATGAGCGCTGCTGTTGCTGTTGTTGAGGCTGGTGCTGTCGCTGCTGGCCGGCGGCGGAATTGCGGGGTTCAGGGTCGAAGAAGTCGCTGTCGAGGGCCAGAGGGTTGTCGGTGTCGAGAGGCACGGAGAAGCCTTGGGCGGTGGCCGATGCGGAAGACATGATTTCGTTCCCAGCTGGGGCCAGGCGAAAGGGGATGCCCGAGGATAAGTAGTCGGTATATGAGATGGACGGAGGAGAGGAGAGGGAGGATAGGAGCGGTGGCTTCCGGGAAGAGGTCCCAAGCAGTCGAGCAGGACAGGCAGCCGAGCCCAAAACTGAACTGGTGCGCTCTGGAGATGCGCAGCGTCACGTCACTGGCCAGGGATCATGACCATGTTCCTGAGCGGACGGGAGAGCAACGGGGCGGCGTGGGTTGAGGTGAAAGCTTAGGCAGGACTCGAGCTCGGGAGGCGCAGTCGGCGAGAGAGAGGCTTGCGGCGGCGTCTGGCTAGGAAGTACAAGTTAGGATGACAAAAACGGTGGTGTCGGACGAGAGAGAAAAAAAAGGGCAGCGGGCGGCCAGAGAGCTGATGATGGGATGGGACATGGGCGGCCAGTTTGTGTGGGTGCGGCTGGCGGATCTAAAGCGCTTACCACCTTGATTAGGCTGGCGACGGCACCCCCTGCTAAGCGACCCTGCCCGTTTCTGGTGCTCTGATGCCACTGCTTTTGTGTCCGCGATGCGTGTATTCCTGTCGAGTACGACGTGCCAAGGTCCAGCTGCGCAGCATGTACTGCAAGGCCGGCAGCGTCATGGAAGTGCTACCTGGTGCTACCCGGTGCTGGGCTCTTTGGGCTTCAAGCTGGCCCAGGGTCCCAATCAGATAAGTCGGCGGTCGAGATATGGGGGGAGTGGGTTTGGTGATGGTGATGGATAGTTTTTGGTGGTGGTGTGGTGGGGGGGGCGAATTGCGGGAGGAGGCGTGCTAAGTTTGGCACAAGGGAGGCTTGTGTGGCGGCGAGATCTGAATCAATTGCTGCTTGTTTCTTGTATTTCGGATGTAGCATGTAAGAGAAAGAGAGAAGAAGAGGGAGAGGGTGACGATACTGATGCTGATTGCCGATTGTAGTGGTGATGATTCGATGTGAAGGATACAGAAAGAGAGTTAGGGCCGCCAATACTTGGGAGGGAGGGGGTTCGGAGCTGAACATTGATCAATGCTCTCTGGTGCCACTGCTACAGTACCATTTAGTGAGCGGTAGGTGGCATTGGATGCAAGTTGGCACGCAGTGACGGCATCACAGCAGCCCTAATCCCAAACCCAGGTAGCTCCAAACCGAGTCCAGCCAAAGCATAGGTACAGAAGATCGCTATCCATTGTACCATCTGTATCTTTTTTGTTTGCTTGCTTGCAGAAATCACATCATTGATTGCAAACGATACTGTAAGAGTGCAATATCGGCATTCTACCAGGCCGAGTAACTTGTACGTGCCCGGGGCTCAAAGAGGCGCGCGGTTGCAGAGACTCTAGCGATAACCAACCTCTCCAGGTTAGACCTTGTCCAGCTTCAACTCTTAAGGCACCTTAGTAGTTTAGTAGTACTCCATACTCCCCCTCCACAACCAACAAACAACAATCCTCAGAGACTCAACAACAACAACCTCAACCTCAACCACAAACCCGAATAAAACGAAAAAGAAAAACAAAACCCCCGTGGACATGTACAGGGCCAAGTCAGTGGCCGCTACCGCGCTAATGCCCTCGTTCTCTCAACGGGTCCGTCTGGCTGTCAAACCAAACTCGCCATCTCGTCTCCATAGCCTCCACCACGCGAAAAAGCCTAACTGGACAGCATCAACAACTAGCGGCCAGCGTTTCACACAGGAGGATGGTTCGCTGTGGGGCTGCCCTGCGAGAATATGCCCAGCTCTGGGGTCGAAAAGCCTTGCGGACGGACAGCTAAGCATGGTAGCGCGGTACCGGCCGCCTGCCCGTCGACGTCACCCTGGGCCAGGTACCCGGGCATCAAGAGCCGCCTCACCCCTGGCAGCAAACGGTGGGCACGAGGCTTGCGGCCTCTAATTCCGTGGCTCCCAAACGGGCCATGGCGCGCCCTGGGGCCCTGTGAGGCTATCTAGCACCAGGGCCAAAGTCAGGTGGTGCCAGCCCCCCGAGGGCGAGGCGTTCTCGCAGCAGCAACACCGCCCCATGAGCTCAGGGCTGGTCACCACTCCATCTCGTTTGCTTCTGCTTCTGCTGCTGCTCGATCCGAGGTGGCGCTGGAAAGGGCAAGGCAAGGCAGCAGCGCGCAGGATGCGAACCGCAGCACGTCACGATAGACTGAGACATCCAGATGACATCAGGGAACTTGTCCAACGGTCCCCCTAGGCAGTGAGTGGCACAGCAGCCAGCCCATGGCATGGTCTGGGATGATACATGCAAACAGGAAATGTACAATGTGCTCCGTTACTCCATGCCATACACGGAAAGGGGTGTATGTCTAACCATCTACGACCATGCCTCACACCTGAGATTCGGCCGGCAGGATCAGGACCTTGGCCCTTCTTGGCCACGGCAGCCGGGCTGGATCGTCCAAGCAAGAGGTATGGGTAAGACGATGCTTGTTCCATAAGCGTCTCAAGCCATGTAGACTTTCGGCCTTCTGGACGAATGCAACCCCTTGTGCATACGGCAGGATCAAGCAGCAACAGACCATATCACTAGTATTGTGCTTGTTTGCTTACATGGCGCGCTAGCCACGGAGCAGATACTGGATATATTCCCATTATTCTCGTCTGTGCCTGTCTGAGCGGCAAATGGTTGATTTCCCGGCTGGCTCGGCTCTCGTCAGCACCCTATTGCCGTTGCTGCTTCTGCTGCTTCTGCTACTGGTCATCCTGCTCGGCGCGGGTATGTAGCACGAGTACGTTGTGCTTATACAGGTACGGGAGCACGATACAGGTCCTCGTCCGTGCCCTTGGCGGAGATTGAGGAGAACCTCAGGGCACCGTCTTGGCACCGGCTTTTCCTGTTTCTATCAAGGCACGGACGACCTGCTTGTTTGATGCAATATTCAACGGCATTCCGAACATGTGCAATATAAGATCAATGTACGAGGAAACCAATACCATCGCAAATGGGGGGCAACACTGCCCCATGTCCCACCGTGCGGCTGAAGCATCCGGCGCCATGTCTCACAGAGTTCGATTAGCCTCAACAATGCTGCTAAAGATCTGCTCCGCCTCACTCCAACGTCGATTGAACTTCTAGCGAGGGCATCGTCTGGGCGCGTCCTGGAACATTCTAAAGAAGCTTCACGGTCCAACATGCCCGTGCGCTCCCGAGGCCTGCATGCTCGATTGAATCCTGCATGTACGGATACCCTGCATGAGAAGGCTTAGTGCACCATCTATCGATGAGAGTCTGCCCTCCTTTGGCGATACTAGAGCAAACCTTCCGCGGTCGACAAGGCCCTATGAGGCAGACTCGACGAATAGACTAGGCGTCTTGCAGAGCTTGAAGCTTGAGATGCGGCACATGGGCAAGGGAGGGTAGGATCCCACGGGGGGCCTCCCGTCTCACCCAAAGTTTTGCCCCGATTCCAACCATCTACCAGCGCCACTGATTCGGTCAACTCGATTTGGACACCGCGAGTGCCGGCAAAGCAACCATCGCGTCCTGCCCGGCACAGGCAAATGCGCAGGGAGATAAGCGCGCTACCGGATCGATAACCGCCATGTCACGGCGGCTATGCAGAGTATGTAGGAGTAGAGAGATTGCTGGTCTCTGGTGTTGTCGCTGCTCGTACTTGCGATGCGATCATCATCCAGTTCAGCCTTTCGACATTGATGGTCTTTAGATTTCAGAGGGTCAATCTGTAAGTCAAGTTATAAAAAGTCACGAGATGATTGATCAACTGCAGTACCTGGTAATGGCAGCCTGAACATGAATGTATTTTGCAAAGATAATTGCAGAGACCAAAAACAACCAACCCCACGTCATTTGCATCCCGCCAAAGCTGGGGCGCCGCCACGTGATGCCTCAGACGACCAACTTGAGCCACCAACTCAAAGTCTCAAGCGACGACGATGGGATTTATCTCATCGCATCTGTGATTCCTCTTTTCCTCAAGTCAGCTCTTCTCAACCAAACTACCAACCAAGCCCGACGCCTTCCACCCAGATCGCAGGAACAAGAGGCGACAACAACTCGCTTCTCCGTACAGGCATCGCGATCTTTTTGTCGGTCTGCTTCGCCCATCATGTTCCGGGTTTGTCAACGCCATGCCCCATCACCCTCGCCTCACATCTCACGTCGATAGCCCCGGCTAACGTTGCACATAGCCGCATCCAGAGGAGAGCATGCACCTCCGGCTCCATAGGGCTCGGTCCGTGGTGCTGACAAGTGACGAGTGAGTGCCAGCCTCGGTCTCCAGTCTCATAGACAGACGGCAGCCGCCGATATGTCATTTGCGTGGATTTCCAGTCCCTAGTTGCTCCATCCACTTGCTAGAAACAAAGCACTCATCTCGTCCGTCTCTATAGACTCGTTGAAATCCGCGCCGCCCAGCGTACCTTTGAGGGTGCTTACATGCGCACCGCCTTGGGCCTCTTCTCCTTCTCCCTCGTCATCCTCAAGGTTTTCACCGAGGAATTCTACCCCATCGGCGCCCTCTTCGCCGCCTTTGGCACCGCCATACTCCTCGTCTCCATGTACCGCCGCTACCAGGGCCACCGCCAGTTCTTTGTCGCCGAGTCGCCGGATGGTATCCTGCGCCGGAAATTCCGGACCAGCGGCGACACTGTCCTTCTCTTGACGGCGTTGAGTCTATGCGCGTATTCTACGCTGCTGGCGTTGACGTGGCGTCTCAAGGATATTTGAAAACGCGTTGATGTGAATCTGATACATCTTTGGTTATTGGGATCTCATCAAATGACTAAATTGCCTACGATAAATGCAGCGATCCTTTCTTAACATTTGACTCGACTTATCTGCTAAAGGATATTGGCCGGTTTCTTGAAATATCTTTGTCAAATTCTTTTCGTGGTTGGTCGCCATTCTCCGCTGCCATCTGCTCTCACTACTTCAGCAATTGTTCGATCCGAAGAAGGTTTCCTGTTTACACGAGGAGTAGCCTATAGTGATTTATACCTTACTGCATCATATCTGGTGTTGGATGGAGTTCATTTTTTTCTTGTGTTTTTGTTAAGGGCTCGTAGTTGCCCTTGGTTCCTTGCTCACATTAATGGCTCTAATGGAGCTGATGTTTGTAGACTTGGCTATTAATATTGAATACCCATTTGATCTTTTATGCAAGATTATTATGACATTGCTTTAACTGTGCTTCCATGCCTGTGACTTTGCAGCGTGCCCAGGGGTCTCTGGTGAATGGGGCAAGACAAAGATGTTATACGCTTCCCCACAAACGCAAGGGAGCAAAGCGATAGTCACACACACACATATATAGTGCAATATATGCAACTCGCAAACTCGCAAACTCTCGCAGCATAATGAATATTGAGATACTGATCTCCAATGCGTAAGAATTGGGCTCAAATAAGATGCGATCAGTAACTTCGCTATTCATCCTCGCGGACCGGAAAGCCACATGGTATTTGGAAAACCTATGTCGAGGCCAATGAATTGTCACTGTTACCTAATTGAAAAGCTATAGTCAAGCTGAAGAACCAAAAGTACTCTAACTAGTGATAGCTACCATAATTCACAACAGTCGAATTTGCCTGCCCATCTCTTATATCATTATGCCTCATCCGGCCGTCTATATTTAAAGAGCACGAAACATTATCTTGCTTCCTGCAAAGAGTACATGAAACTCGTGAAAATACTTATCCGGAAATATAAACCCAGATTATAACTACTATCTCTTATACCACGACTATAAAGAATAGCAGCAAACAAGAAGCGGAATCAATGACATCTAATGACAGACGCGCACACACACCAAAAAAAGAAAAAGAAACTAGTAAATGTCAGACTTTATACATCCCAATAAGGCATGGATTCTTAACAACCAAGCCGCTCCTCATTGTATCATCAACAGCGAATAATGACCACATATTTTGAAGAGTACAACAAGAAACACCCAGAAGCAAAGCCAGTTCGCCCTCTGTCAAGCAAGCAAACTCATCCCATAGTTCTAATCAACCAAGCTAGTTTCCTTCACAACTACTTCAACCTACCTAACAAACCCCCTTTTTTACTATTCACGCAAAACTCATCCATCCAAAGCAGATTTATCAACTCCACTACCAGCTGTGAAACAAAGCAACCAATCATGTCCTTTACGTGTCTCGCTTCCTTCCCTCCAACTTTACTCGTACTATCCGTCTCACAAATAACTCACAAACACATCCGACCACAAAACAACCAAAACACTCAGAAAATCTACCCAAAACACTCCCCAAAGACGTTAAATTACCTTCAAAATAGGGGGGTAAAGTGAAGCAACGAGAGAAATAAACCCGGAACATGAAAGAAAAGACGGCCTCAAACAAAGACCTCAACCATATTTCCCTAACAAAAACTCAAATATGCTTCATTGAATGCCTTGCAATTTGTAACACAAAACACACACACACACACAAAAGAACCCCCAGGGGAAATTCCCCAAGCTTGATTAAGCAGACAAAAAAAAAAAAAAGGTCCGCCTCAAGTCCTCCCATCCACCGCCCGCCGCCTTGAAACTTTTTTAAACCAGCTTCACACCTTGAACCAGCAAAAAAAAAAAAAAAAAAAGGCCCAAATGACAAAAAAGGAGCAAATTGAAAAGAAAAGAAAATCTAAATCCGCTAATATCCGCTGTGTGAGTCGAGAGCTCACCGTTTAATGATTTCCCCCCTCCCATTCTAAAAGTTGTTTCGGCCGTTCAAAAACATCCGTTGACCCCCCTCCCCCACAGTATGTATATACAAAGCCGTGGAGAACCCGCCTTCCGTCTCCCATCCCAATCCCGTGGTATTATATCGTGTCGTACTCGTTCGAAGGTTGAAGGTTGAAATGATAAGAAATAAGCAAGCCGCGTTACGAATTCGAACGATACGTGGGTTGAAATCCAAGTTCGAATAGAGGTATAATGCTGAGCTGAATCTTCGCAAGAGCCCCACACTAGTTGTCAAAACCTCTTCTCAGCAGTAGAATGAATGGGTCGGCTGGTTCCGAATACTGTCGAGGTACAGGTTGTAGGCTGGTAGCACGTTGGCATGGGCGGCCGCTTTTCTTGCCGAGTGATCGAGTTTCGGTTAAATGAGTGGTATCCAAGTCTCTCGTTCCAAAAGCATGGAAGCCCTCAGCCAAATCCCTCTCTTAGGTCATCTCAACTGGGTCCGAAAGCCCATCTCTTCCTCCAATCCAATGCCCAGTAAAAGCACTATCCAATCATTCTCCATACTCCCGCTCCTTATAGTTCCTATTGGCCATAGGGATTTTTCGAATGCCGTGCTCTATTTCCTGGTATTCAATCCAGTGGGGAGATTCGGTCAAGTGGCTGCTCTCGTACCAAATGTTGGAAGCTTTCCTGCATGATGGCGGAACGGGCGTTTCCATATACATGGCCCAGATACTTCCTTCCCGTCGAAGCAAAAGGTTTTCCGTCCATATCTGTAGTTCCAAGACTAACAAAGACTTGACTCAATGCCCCAACGTCATCAAAGCTAGTAAAAGCCCTATTTCTTTTCAGATTGGCTACTTTGGTATGCTTCAGGCGCTCTGATTTTTCGCGAGAAGGATCAACTTGCCGGTAGTCCCAGGGCATTTATCATCTCTTATCATGACATGATTCCGCAAGTTTCAACCAGGACGGGATGGAGGGAACCGGTTACACCATCGACCACTTTCCCTACATGTGTTGTGATCTGTCACCTTCACCATACTCTCCCCATGAACGATAGGCACCCGCTTGCGTATCTGTTATGGGGTGCTGTTGATGCTGTGGTATGAGCTGTTGCGGCTGCTGCTGTGATTGTTGTTGTTGCCAAGCCATTGGTGCTGCCGAGGGAACAGCACTTCCCATTATTGCAGGGTCAATGGCCTGCTCTATACCTTCATCTGTTTCACCCACAGGCACTCCGCTGTACATGGGTGGGAAATGTTGAGAATGTCTCTCATAGATTTGATTTTGCTGGGGCACAGAATAGTACTGTGGTGCGTGATGATGGCTCCCCAGCATCTCTCCGCTGAAGGACATGGAGCGAGGAGGCGGTGGCATGTTACTATTCCATCCCATTTCGTTCGCAGGCCCGTAGTTCGAGCTCGCCCAAGCGGCCGAGGAAGCTGATGGATCCGCATAGGGGGAAAGTTGCCCGCTCATGTTTGCTTGAAACGACGGTCGCCAAATCGCGTTCGGGTCGCGAGGTTTCGCCATTGCGTCGCTATCTGTATCCGTAGCCATCCATCCTGGCGAAGACGAATCCCCAATGGCATATGATGGCCCAGATGATATGGTGTTTGACGAGACTTTTTCAGGCTAGCAGTTAGCACGCATAACAAACGAAAAAAGAAGAGAGAAAAAAACAACCCCCCTCTACGAAGAAGCCTTTCAACTACCTACCTTCCATGTCTTGTGGAAAGAATTCGCTTTGAGGTGTCTGAATTGTCGGAGTGCCCATGCTGGGCAACGGCGCGACAGGTATAGAAGGATAATGTTGTCGCTGCGGTCCCTGGTCGACAGAGCTGCCACGAGATATAGCGGGCGATGAAGATGCTGTCACGGTATTGGACCCCCCAGGGGTCTGGGGTGGCTGCTGCTTGGCATCGTACGGCTGTTGCTGGTCCACAGGGTGAAAGCTGCATTCTTTCTTGAGCCGTATGCAGTTTACACACCGATTTTGGTCCTCCGTGGATATGATGCAGCGTATCTTACGTCGACGGCAATGACCTGGTGTTTGTTAGAATCTCAGCAGGGCCTGGGGGGAACCGGGGCCTTTGAGCTCTCAGGCGGAGTAGAAGAAAGGCGAAACTCACCACAGGCGATTGATGTTCGATGATAACCAAGCTTATTCCTCTTCTTTTCACCCATCGGTGGCGCCAAGGATTGTGATTCCAAGTAGGATGGGGTTGCACCACCCACCGAAGGCGTCGAGAAGGATCGTTTCAAGAAGTGAGTGGGATTGCCTCGAATGCTGGACGCCATTGCAGAATCCTGTATCCCCCTTAGACTCCCGGCAGGTGATTTTGGAGGTGGCATCGCAGATTGGCCGTGGTGCATCTACTCCTGTTGTGACGGGGTATAGCATAGGACATTTGATGAGGCAGTGGCGGCGTCGATAGCTGGTGAAACGGGTGTACGAGGGTCTTAGATGAGCGCAAGATCACAAAGGCCTTGGTTTCGATTGAGCAGGGAGGGAACGACAAGGCGGTCACAGCCATGAACAGCAGATGGCAGAGCCGTGCTAGTGGCGTTGGATTTGCCAATACTCGCGATGCCAATGAGCCAAAACCAAAGCACGCTCAACCTCTTGGTGGCAAAAGTATAGCTGACCTAAGACAGCTGATTGTGAATGCGAGCTAAAGGGGATTCCATACCAGCTCTTGGCCAGACCCGATCTGGTAATCTATGAAATCTCCTTGACTCCTTGGTACCGGGCGGGCAGATCGAGATGGGTGGCTTTGACGAGGACCGGACGATGGGAAGGTTGATGGAAAGAACACAGAGCGGGAAGACGCTCAGTGAGAACCAGGTTGCTCTAGCAGCCGCCTTTGTGACACCCTATGTAATGCACTTCCTGCCCCAGTAACCATGCTCCGGGGTCCTCCATAGGGCTATTATGCCTTGTCGATGGGCTATGGATGCCTGTCACTGGCTGGAGCAACAGCAAGGGTGATGCAAGCTCGGCCACCCAGCCCTTCTGGTGTGGGGAGGGTCATATTGAGTTGTTTAACAAGAGGAGCCCGTACATGACACCCCTACTGTACGTCGACACCACTTTTTGTACATCTACGACGACCGGCCGGCGTACAGCTATGTACTTGTAAGTATGGGTCCACTTGATGAGAATCAAAACGGCGCATTTCCCGCTGGGCCTCAGCCAGAAAGGGTTGTGTGGCATGTGCCAAGCGGCGCAGCCGTCGACCGTCAGAGGTGAAAGGCGGATGCTTGGCTGACAGGTCAGCGACGCGGCTTCACATGAAATGCAAAGAAACGGAGCCGGGCTGTGGGAAGCAAGAAAATCGAAGAAGAAAAAATATACTAGTCTGTAGTTATTTGGTTGTTTAAACAGTCGTCATCTTACTACAACCGATGTGGAGACGTGCTCCCACATGAAGCATCGTTGTCGGCCACTGAGCATCTGGGCCAGGATTTGTCACTTTTGAGCGGAATCGGCATGAAGATGACAAACTGAATGGAGGCGATGTTTGGCAGTAGCTGTTGCATTCTAGCCAGGCAGCAATTTGCAAGTCCAAATATGCGTATCCTTTTTTTTCTTCCTGTGTGATTATGAGACAAAGGGGAAAGCTGCCGAGCGGCCATGCCGGAGAGGGTGGCACACGGTGTTGTTCTGGGCGTGTGTATAAAGAAGAGTGCCGGCCACCTCGGCTCGAAGATTTATTAGAGGGGCCTCTTAACGAGGACTCCATCAGAGCAAAGTACAAGCATGTATGAGCATGTACTGGTTGATATTGTCTGCTTACCACCTGCCCGTGGCAAGCTCATCGCGATGCTCCACGAAAACTGGTGCAAATCCCCATCCTGGGACACATAGGGTTTGCCGCTAAAGGCCTGTCTGTCATTTTTAACAAACCTTGGGGAAGTTTGATTTGCGGTAAGCTTCATGTCGGACAACCAATAGCGTTGCCGCAAACGGGCGGAAGGGAAAAAGCAAAAAGAAGGCTTCGAGAACCGGGAGACAGGGCCGGGTGAGACTTGATCCAGCTGATGGCTCACCTCTCGTACGCCTGTGTGGCGGCATCGTAGGGCATCGTATACCTACTGTACACGAAGGAGGATAATACAAGCTACCTAGTTAGAGGTGTAGTACACGTCTTGCTAGGTCATAGCATCAGAAACCTGGGCAAGGGTGAGACTAGTGAACCAATTATTAGCTGCACTAAAACCAGGAAAAGTAGCGAGAGGGGCCGAGATGGAGAAGCAAAAGAAGAAAAAAGGAAAAGAAAAGAGAAAAAGGTACAAGCCTAGTCCGACGCAAGGGAGACGAGTGCGAAAAAGGGCTGGCAGTGACCATCCCACAAAAGCAGGATCCCCTGTCCAGCCATCTGCCGGTCTCCAATTCTTTCAGCTCAAGCTGTCTGCTGCGACTGGAGACCCGGTCGTACAAAGTAAGTGGCCATCTGCAGGGCTGGAGAGAGACGACAAAAAAAAAGAGAAAAAAAAAGGGCGATGCGGGCACCTCCGTACCTATTCCGTTTTGATGGAACCCGCCGGCATATGCAAGCAGTACGTGATACACGTACTATAACGCTACTACCTACCTTGAGTGGCAATAGTCATGTCTTTCAGCTCTCCCAGGGCACACGGACTTAAGCGGTATGGCGGTGCAAAGTCAGCTCGAGTCGCCCAAGTCGCACGCGAGTTGTTCACTTGATGAGCAGGACGACACGTATCTTGCAGATGGAAATTGTCCGGAAGAGTGTCGTTTAGTCCCTAGACTCGATCCCACTTTGCTGGTGTTACCTGCAGGCCGGCGAAGCCCTCTCGAGACACATCGAACTTTGCAATCCCCACGTTTCCGGCTTAGGGGAGCGACCAAAGCAAAAGAGGCCAAAGGCAATCAATTAGCTCCATGAGATCAATCTTGTGGCCGCCGGCCAACCGATCCCGAGAAAGCAAGACTAAGCGATCACGGTAAGCATTTGAGACCTTGACGCCTCCCAAAGGGAAGTCAGCAGGCATACTGTACAAATGAGCCTGCATACAACAGGTTGCACTCTGACGGATCCTTCTGGTCAGGTATAAGATGCTCCAATTGAAGCACCCCCCCTAATCAGCAAAGTTTTGAAATTGTTTTTTTTTCCCTTGCTTGCTTTTTTCTCAGCCTTGACGGCCAACATTCTGTCGGCTAAAGCCGCTTGAACGGCCAAATCCACAGAGGCGGAGTATAGGACCGAGCACTAGTATCAATTCTCCGCATACCAGTATGCACAAGCATAGTCGGCCATGTCGTGGGTTCTTCGTAAATCGTCTGTTCTGTGCCTGATCCACGCTTGTGGGAGAGACCGACAACGTTTCATCCGGGCAGCTCTCCACTCACTCACATCCACCACAAGCAATTCTTCTCTGCAGTCTAAAGTTAGCGGGTGGGTTGATACTCGTACAGCTCGCAACCAGAGCAGTTTGCGGCGGCTGCCACCGGCCAACGTATGCGTCATAAGTGATCCCGGCTGGTCAAAGTGTCCCCAAAGGCATTACAGAGCAGGCTAGCGCTGGGAGAAATTGTCTCGGCTGAGATTTGAATCGAGGCCGTTGTTAGCGCTGTGTCAATCAACGGTGAAGCAAGGGAGAGAAATACGCGACAGGAGCGAGCTCGCTGCTAGTCCGAGTGACGGCGACTTCGCTTTACATGTGCCAACCACGCCTCCGGACTAATCCAAACGACGACGTACCAAGTACGAGTACACACGGCGCAGACCCGAAGGATTCGGGTTGTGGTTCTTGAGTGGGGACGTTCGCGCTTCCGCCTTTCCTGGTAGCATAATTCGCGTGATAAGGCTTAGACTTGTGGTGTACCCCCGGAACGTTGGATGGAAACGTCGCTGATGAATAACTGCTATTAGTTGGTCAATCCATCTCCGAGGTCAGATTCCCTCTCCATTGGATTGCATCGTATACTGTTACCTGCTGGTGCTCGTTCTTGAACGGACGCTTGTACTCGTACTGTAGGAGATTGATCCACATCCTGATGGATGGTTACTGGGTACTTTACCCACCCCCCTCCTCTTCCATCTTGCTGTAATCGAGGATGGGTTGGCAGCAGATCTCACCACCAAGGCTAACTATGCCGGCTCTCTGTGCTAAATACTCCGTACTTGCCTTGGTAACTTGAGGTGCTGCGCACTCCGTGGCGCGCATACCCGTACGAGCATATTCGTTCACAGACCATGGCAGCGCGGATACAACAGCTCGAGTATTGTGCCTGTGTGGTGTGTGTTGTTACACACAAGTGGACCTGCGAGGCGGGAGTCCTAGCATGGCGCTCCGTACTCCGTAATAGCCCCCCTCGGCAGCTCCCTTGCACGTTGTGCCATTCAAGGCCAGTCCCTGTCAAGGCGCTGCGCTTGTTCTGACGCCGCTCTGCCCGCCTAGTGGGCGTGGCAGTGGCATAAGTTGGATTCCTCACAGAAAACAGGACCATACGATTTGCCACGGCGAGCTCCGTCTGTACCTAACAGCATGTTCGATGGACCTACTCCCGCAAGCAGCCCGAACCCGAACCGCGGCGGCGAGGATGGTTGATGAGAAGGCAAGCCGGACGCCGCAAAGACGGCACAGCGAACCCCAGCCAGGCGGGATTTCGGGTACAACCGAAGTTGCTGTGGCCACGAGATATTTGATTGTTGGGGCTGATAGGGGGCTATTATACTACAGGCAAAAGAAACGGACAGCGTGGCGAGTAGGCGAGCAGTCGGTCTCTTGATCCTGGCCGCCTGGCATGTGTCATATGAGGTATACGATGCGCTCCGTGAGGCACATACGAGTACAGGCCACGCACCAGAGAGCCGATCGCGATCGCCTTGACGTATGGCCGTCCGTGCGGTTTGCGGCGAGGAGATGGCCTTTTCCCTGCTGCAACGAAAGACCCTCACAAGGCTGATGGGCAAACAAAAATTCCCCATTAGCGCGGCGGCCGAAGTAACTTTGCCAACGTCCTTGTATCCCGAACGGCGTTAATCTCCTGAGGGTGGGCCGCGGTTGAAGGTTTTTGGTCTTGGCGAGCACGGATCAGAAGCCGACTCCCCCGTCAAGCGGCGCTGGGATGATATTTGATATTGGGCTGGCAGCGCTCGATAGAGGTCGTGGCTGGGCCAAGATGCGACGCAAGATGCGCGCCACGCGTTTGCGGATCTCAGCCGCTCCAGGTTCTGGCGCCTCGTGCGAAATCGGTGAGGGCTCCTTGCATGCAAGGGACTGGGCGCAGGAAGAAAAGTTCGTTGTTGCTCGACCTCGGACGGCGGCCAATCCGCACCGGCGCCAGACATTTTGAGGGCTAGCCGCGTCGATTGCAACTCGGCTCAGCTGCTGGGCACTTTGCCGTCCAATGACCGGATGCTGGAATGAAGCGCAAAAGAGGATGAGGACGAGTTTGATGAGTTTTTGCAACCGGAGACTGGAAGCTGAAGACCGGGAAGCTGTGGGTAAGGTACCTTTGGGGGAGCGGCAAGGTACCTCGCCGAAGATGCGCCAAGCCCCAGGACGACAGGTACAGCGCGCGTACCTCGAGGCGGTTCTGGACGACCTCGGAGGCGTAGGCCGGTAGCACAGTCGTCTTCTCCATTTCTCCCTGCTAGTACCTCTGCAATTAGGTCGAAAATCGCTCGAGGGACGGCATGTGGCAGCGGTTCCCGCGCAAGGGCTCCGCAGTGTTGGTTCGGCCCAAATGCAAATGCATGGACACAAACTGCTAAAAGCCTTGAATGGGAATTTAGGCGCTACCAGACGCACTAGGTCCAGCGCCTATCACCATCTCAGGCACAAAGCAGCAACTCCGTCTACTAAGTGACCTTGGTAGTGGACGATGGAGTTTAGGAGGTACTCGTACCTACATGGAGTCCGAGTACTAACCTGTACCTTGGAAGTACCGGTTTTCTTCTTCTTTTGCATCAGGTACTACAGGTACTACAGGCACTAGCATCAGGACGGCAGGGACTCCGCAGCAGCTCATGTGCAACTGCTTCCCCGGTTATTGCGCTGGTGCGGCTTAGATGCCTCAATCTATGAGAAACTGATTGGCTCGTATCCACGCAAATCCCTAATTCCTGCCTGAGCTACTGTAAGTGTCGTGCCTGCTAGCAGCTCGCTTGCAGCTGCCATTATTAAGACATACATACAGCCAGAAAGTGCTACCTGGCATTGCCTAAGGAAGGTAAGGTACCTTAGGTAGGTAGGCAGTACTCGTACCCAGTTCCAGTATTTCCGGCGAAATTGGATTCGCCTCAGGACAGGTTTCAGTTAGGCTGCCTACTAACCAAGGTAGCAAGTACGATAGGTACTCGTACATGCATTGGTTGCTGCTACCTTGAAGCAGGTACTGCCTCTTATGGAACTTATTGCTCAATTTCGTGGCATGTGCTTACTCGTATACAGCATCGACCCTCTCCTGTCCATTTCCATTTCCATTTCCATTTCCTTCTCCATCTCCCTCTTCATCTCCATCCACGCACGCCCTGCCTTGCTTTGCCTCGTCCTCTTAACTGCTGTTGGTTAGTATTCACGCCAGCGCCATGCACGTTAGTCGAGACAATTAGACCCAATTAGCCGTTGATCAGATCAAAAGCCCCTTCCTTTGGCGTCCAAGCCTCAAAGAGGCATCAGCATCACATGCGGCGTGCCAGAATCAATTTGTAATGACGACGTCTCGTCTCGCTCGTATCATCATATCATATCGTGCCACCACCCATTGGAGCGGCTCCCTCTCAAACGTGCTCGGCTGGAGCATTTCAGGCCTGTTTTGCGAGAGAGTTTGAATCATCTTGGGCCCTGTTGGAGAGGATCCTACGATTTCCTTGGCCTTCTAGCCCCTCCGCCGGGGGGGTTCTCACTGGTAGGCGGAGGCGGAGCTACCTCCGATGGACGTCGGATGTATGCACATGCACCCATGGCCCTGTTTTGAGACTCAAGCCCCTACATACACTGTGTCATCCCATGTCACCCAAAGGTGCAGATGGCCATATACCAAAATGCAGCTAAGAAATAGGATGATTTGATATTTGACAAGTTTCAGAGTACATGGCTGATACTTGCCACCGCATCTCGAAGCTACCTACTCTACGAGATTCGATTGTCCATGTCTACGGAGTAAGGGCCCGTAGACGGCGATTTCCCGTTCGGCTCGGCCCTGGCCGTGTAAGCACCTAGACTTTGGTTAAGTCCGAATCGTGATGCCATCGACCTCGTGGATGATGGATAGTGCTAACTTTATACTCTGGATAGCATCCATTCTCGCAAGTCATTATCGACTAGTCACCTGCTTTTGCATGCATACGAGGTACCGGATAGGCAGAGGCCGACTTGGACGTCTCGATGACCTGCAGGGAGAGCGGCCACAATGCCTCAAAGGGTCTTACTGCGCTGCACCAAGACCGCGTGTCTCGGGGGGCGAGTTGGCTGATTGTGACACGCAGTTATTATTGGGAACAGATGAAACAGCCGCTGCGAGGGTTGGCATTTGGAGAACAATGTCTCAATTCTACTCCAACGATCGTTGCCTACCGGATGAAAGCCTCCGAAGCCCTCTCGGCAAAACTCAGATATCCCCTTACAAGCCATTGGCTCACGGCGGATACAAATACATCAGAGAGAAGCGATCAGTATCTTAATGGAAGTCTGAGACACGGCTGCTGTGTTTGCCACGGAGCTGAGTTACCCCCCTGCCATTCAGGCAATGGTTGTACATCGAGAGAAATTGATACTGGCATTAGCCGACACTACGATAGGAGATCTTGGTTCCGTGTGGCTGGGTCCATATCCATGTTTTGGTAACATGCGGTGTGATACCCGGGCTTATTGTATTAGACATAGGTGGGTTTTATACGTCAGCGCCGTGTCTCTAACAAAGTGACCTTGTCCAGCTGTTTGACGCGTCGGTCATTACATATCAACAGACACCTTCGAGCCATTGGACGAGTCGTGGCAGAGCGGATGAATGTCAGCAGAAGAATGAATGAATGAGAACGAATTCAGGGGCCGTGCAGAACTAGCGACACAAACGAAAGCCGAGAAGAGTTTACAACATGGAAACCGGCGATCTCGGCGGCTATCAATGCAGGAGGCTCGACTCAATACAAGTATTGCACGCATCTTGTGTAACCTTGCTACCTAAAGGAGTTGGCTACAAGTGCCTCCCTGCATGCTGACTTGGAATATTTACTGCTAATGCCGAAATTGCATATCCCTTGAGAGTTATTTGCCTCCTACGGGTTACCGAGTGGACGTATGGGCGTCTGAATGGATCGCTTAGGCTGAACCACGACGCAAGGGGCTGCTTTTCATGTCATGCACTGCAGCCAAGCGATCTACCAAACGTTTATTCCTATGCTTGACTCAGGTACTGCCCTGGCTAGCTAGTAAACGCCCGGTATGCGAGGGACCAACATGTTTCTATGAATATTTGGCTAAAATTTTACGCGCCGTGTGACCATCGAGGTGTGACAGAGGCATCGGACGAGACTGTGTAAGCGCGTCCAGGAAGGTTTCCCTTGCTTAAGAGATACGCAAGATGAGATTGATAATAGACTGAGCTAAGAGATTATGGTCGACTTGAGGGATAGGTAGGCTTGCGTAACACTGAATTGGCAACTTCCACATCGTATCTGTTTTCCAAACCAACAATACGAGAAAGATCATGATGTTGGGTTGAAGGTGTTTTCTTACTACTATCCTCGTGTCGAAGTCGAGAAGAGTGGATCAGAAGAATACCTGCACGAGCACGGTCCAAAGAGAAGTCTCTCATTAGAACACATTGGAAGATGTCAGAAAACTCGGAATTCTGGCGACATAGTGTGTTATCTGTGGCTGCTCACCTCATTCCTTAGCTTTCGGTCATTGTCGTCAAGCTCGAGGACGGCCAAAATGATGAGTAAACGATATGTGAATCCTCCAAGAGCGCACCGGATATATACAAATCGAGGAGAAGCAAAACATAAAAGTTCATGACATTCGTTTAAGTTTTTGTTTAAATAAAATAGAAATCTTTTTCCCCCATTTGATATCCCATCAAATACACCATCCTAACTAAGTCTTCTTACTATCTGCTGCTTGAAGTGAGTGCAATCATCTAAATCTCGCACTGTCCACTTGCCCAACATCGCTATCAACTTCACAGTGTGCAACAAGGCTAGCCCCACTCCGGCCAGCCCATTGACCGACTTCCTTTTGTGTGGTTTCGTAACAATGAGGTACATACATGGCCTGCACATGGTTTTTGGTCACAGATCCAACCGTGGAAGGCTGCGATCCCACATCAACCCAAGGCCATTCAAGAGAGATTGCGACCGCTTGACGATTGAAGGCGATATTCGAACTGAGCAGCGGCCGTAGTCGTCAATTGAGACCCCACGGATCATCCAAACCCCCGCATCTGCGAATGGCTGGACCTTGATCAGCTCACATCACCTGCTGTGCTCCAGCAATACGGCGCCATCATGAGCGACCTCCAGCGAGCTTGGGCAAAACAGAAGCTTGGGCTTGCTCCCGAGCCCTTTGAAGAGCTGGACGAGGCTGAGGAAGACCAGGTGCCGGAGCTGCCAGAGGGACTGGACGACGACTCGTCCTCGGCCTCCTCGGTCTCCTCCACGGGAACGATTATCCCGACGCCGAGCCAGAAGCTCTTTGCTCGCCCCCAAGGGTAACTACACCTGAGCTGGACATGGCAAGCAAGCACTTGATATATGGGCTGTCGGGCTGACGGTACGCAGCGTAGCGAGGGGCCGGACGCTGGAGCAGATTCCCTGGACAACCTACTTTGAACGAGAGCTGTTTCTCAAGTCGGACACCAACCCGGAGGTGATTTACCATGTATACCTCAACTCGCCGGTGGATAAGGGGCCCTTGTACGTTATGCATCACGGTGCTGGATCTTCGGGATTGTCCTTTGCTCTGGTGGGCTCTGAGATACGGAAACGGCTGCCGAATGCTGGCATACTGGCAGTCGATTGCAGAGGCCACGGCTCTACTACTGCGCCTGATGGAGCGGCTCTGGATTTGAGACTTGATACGCTATCATCAGATCTCTTTGCCATGGTGGAGGCAACAAAAACACAAATGAGCTGGCCAGAGCTGCCCCCAATAGTCCTCGTGGGCCACTCGTTGGGCGGCGCTGTCGTCACCGACCTGGCCATGTCCGGGAAGCTGGGCACCTCCCTCTTGGCATATGCGGTCCTGGACGTCGTCGAGGGCTCTGCAATGGATGCACTGCAGAGCATGCAGACGTACCTGTCCACGAGACCAGGGGGGTTTGCAACCGTCGAGTCGGGCATTGACTGGCACATCAGGACCCGAACTATTAGAAACTCAGTCTCTGCTAGAGCCTCGGTGCCGGCGCTACTGGTCTGGGATGAGAGCAAAGATGTTTCTCGCCCCTGGAGATGGAGAACAAATCTCGCGGCCACGCAGCCGTTTTGGGAGGATTGGTTCGTGGGTTTGAGCAAGAAGTTTTTGGGGGCTCGTGGTGGAAAGCTGTTGCTGCTTGCTGGCACAGATCGACTAGACACGGAATTGACAATTGGGCAGATGCAAGGTATGTTTTATAAACGTTTTTTTTTATATGGATATGGATTTGGATTTGTATACGAATATGTGAGTGAAGCTCCCTGCGGCTAACGTATTGGCATGAATTAGGAAAATACGCTCTCCAAGTATTCCCCGATGCTGGGCACTTCATTCACGAAGACAAACCAGAGCAGACAGCCATCTCTCTGGTCGATTTCTATCGGCGAAATGACAGGAGTGCGTTGGTCCTGCCACCAAAGGTCTCCGAGCTCTTGAGGCAGGGCAAGAAAGTATAAGTCGTCGACAAGACAGACGGAGGTGAGAGGATTGTACGCTTGACGGAGGGGAAATGGCTTCTAGGCGTTTGAAAAGAACTAGCAACTGCATATACTTTGGTGCTCACGCCCCCCTATTTAACGCTCCCCCATATAGAATGTTGACGATATCAAGGGAGCAACTGAAGAGTCAGTGCCATGGTGCAATTACATTACTCGATGTGGATTTAGAATAAAGTGGCTATGAATAATGAGTGACATGGTCATTGTGCGTTTCACGAAAGAATGGGCTGTTGAGCCATGGTCATCATCACCATCGCAACGCACAGAGGATGGCTGGATCTCAGCAGACACGACACTCTGATACTGCCGAACATCACATCACATCACATCACATCACACTACACAGCTTCACCCGCAAGGCCTGTCTCGGCTACGTCATCAAGTGAGCTGTGATGAATGGCAAAGAGGCCCAAGCGGAAGCAGAGTGACGTTGAATCCCTGCGGTCTTGCTGTCCCATTTACCCGTTTTTCACCATGGGTACCTAGGCATCATATCATCAGTCTCCCCACAGATCGGATACTCAGTCTTACTCTGCACGGACGGAAAATGGGGTGGAGGCGAGATGCATCCGACAGGTATCCTTTCCACGTTGATCTAATACCGAAGGTCGATATTCCTTGTCTCCTCGTATGGTGACCAATCTATTCCTTGTCTTTCGGAGCTGTCTCTGCTGGCAGCTGCTGCCTACACGTATGTACATACATAACCTACCTACATATAATACGGTCCGGCTTAGGTTAGTATGGAGAAGTACGGAATATTACAGGGGACTGTACCGAGTATCGAAAGCAACGGGACGATGACTGCATCTCTCCGGCCTGGTCTGTCTTACTCGCCGAGGTCTGTCAGACCATTGGTAGAGCAATTGATGCAAACTAGCTGCTACTCCTAGTCATGCTCGTATCAATTGTTGCAAACTGTCAAAAGTGCGAGTACGAGTAAGAACGCGCCGTCGCTGTGACAGTCGGCGGGGGGAAAAAACACCAACACAGCACAGCCTTTCGGGTTAGCTGAAAAGTCCATGTCCGTACACCAGAATGACCGATTGGCCGCAGAACCCCCCCTGGCTTGTCGGGGACCAGCATTTCCATTCCCACGCGGTGCCACAAGCCCCCCAATCAGTGGCTTCAGGGCACGTTCTGCCGTGGCTTTGGCACCATCGACTGCTAGCCAAGAGAAGCTTCAGGTGATTCGCGCGCTAGAGGCCGCTAGAGGCTGCCCTTCCCCAGACGCGGAACGTCGCTAGCACCCGAATGGGCTGCTGATGGTGTGTTGGGTGCAGCTCGAGGCCATTGGGGATTCCTCGTCCTTGCTCCCTTTTGCTACGCCAACCCTTGACCTCTTCTTCTTTTTTTTTTCTTCCCCCTCATCCAAATCCACCGAATTACTGCTGCTTATCCCGAAAAGAAACTTGACCAAACGCTCTTTTCACGTGTCAATCACCTATCAATCGCTCAAGATGAAGGCTTCCATCCTCTCGCTCGTCTTCCTGTCCGGCCTTGCCGCTGCCCAAGACGGGATCCCTACCTGCGCTGTAAGTAACAACAAAAACAATATGTGATGATGATAACAACTCCTGGCATCCACACATGAACATGTTCCATTGCCGGAGGCCCTTTGAGCTTGATGGAGCTGCTGCATCTCAATCTCGTCTTAGACAACCACCAGCGTAAAAAGAAACTGTACACTGACACCTTCATAGACGGGCTGCGTCGTCCAGTTCACCACCGGCACCTCGATTGCTGGCTGCGGACAGCTCGACATTGCCTGCATCTGCAAGAACGCCGATTTCCTCAACGGCATCGCATGCTGCCTGGTCTCATCTTGCGACAAGGACGCCCAGACCCAAGCCGTCAATTACGCCAAACAGATCTGCTCTTCTGCCGGAGTCTCGACTCCCGACCAGGTAGTCTGCAACGAGAAGTCGTCCAGCTCGACTGAGGCCTCCCACGAGTCTACCACGGCCAGCGAGTCCTCCGCCTCGACTGCCACGACTGGGTCCTCTGACTCGTCCACAACCGACTCTTCCGAGTCTTCCACCACCGCCGAGTCTTCTTCTGCCCCCGCCACCACAAACTCCGCTTCCCGAACCACTGCCACCTCCGCGGCATCGCAGACAACCTCTGCGGCTTCCACCACAAGCTCCAACGTCGCTGCTCCTCTGGCTTCCGCCGGTAGCTTCGTCGGCGCGGCCATTGCCGTGTTGGCGGCTGCCTTGTAAGCTGTCAATTGATCCACAGAATCGAGCGGCGAGAGATTGGGCAATATGTTTGCTTTTAGTGGAGGATTACAGATGTAACGATACGCGCTGGATGTGATGGGCTGTCTGATTAGGCGAGAATGCGTTGTCTAGCGAGCTGCCAATGCCGAGATACGATACGATAATACCGGGTACTACCCACCACTAATTGACTGATTTAATGAACTTGCCTTGATCAAGAGCTCTTCCATTTCTTATGCTAATTATCAATGTGGTGCTTGTATGTAATATCCAACCATGGGATATAAAAACGATGTTTCTTTAGAATATCATTTACATAGGTGCCTAGGTAAGCATGATGACGTTGGAGGCTTGGAGATGCATAAGTGAAGTCACATCGATAACAAGCGGAACGGTTTGCATAGAGATCTCATTTGAATCCATTAATATGATCCAAAGGAAGATTTAAAAAAAAAATTAGGAATCAAAGGAAGGAAATCTCAAAATCGTTTTAGTTGTCCCAGTTCCAAGTGTAGATCTGCCACCCCAAAGTCTAAAACGATCTTGGCCAGGGGCGCGGGTGTCATAACTTTTTTTTAAAAGAAAAAATCGCACATCAGCATTCGAGAGGCGAGAACTTACGCCAAGGAGCTAAGGAGAAAAAGCAAATCGAGTTGGTGGGGTTGTAGATGAGATCACTTTCGGCTTGTGCCGTTGATGTCGGCTTTTTGGACCCTGAAATTGCATGTGAAGATCTGGAGGAAACGGAACGCCATGCAGTGGCTGAGATGCCAGATTGGGCGAGCTGCGGATTCGGAGTTTTAGTAGAATGCGAGTTTTGTTAAATTTGCGACGCTGTCCTGGAATGCTTAGTGCAAATCGTTGGGGTTCTATGATGGGTTGCTGGGACATGTTGCTGAGCATTGTGTTCGTCTTCATTGTTGGTGGTGCAGAGAAGGTCTATATACATGTACTCAAGTCGTGGCTCAGGATGTAGATGTAGCTGCAGAACTTTGGGACATGATTGGAGGGCCACTCTGGAGTGTGATTTACATTGTTTATTATGTGATGAATCTGCTGTCTGTCCATAGATCTTTCTCTCATTTTGTCTAATAGATGTTGTTCTCGATATTGCAATCATTTTTATAGCCTCCTTATTACCTGATAGTTCAGCTTTCTAGCTTCATTGCCCAATGACCTCGTCAAGTGCACGGACAAGCCCTTTCACCTCGTCCACTGTAACAGCAAGTTAGCCCGTCTTCTCCTAACCTCGCGAGATCATAGAGGCTCACCTGTGTTGTAATGCACCATGCTTACTCTCACAACACCATCTTTGCCCAAACCCAGAGTCTCTCGAACAAGTCGGTCCGAGTAAAACGTCCCCCAACGGAAAGCGTAATTAGACTTGCTCTCCACTGCCTCCACAAGGTCTTGGGAATTCCACCCCTTGACGGAGAAGCTAATCGTCGCTACTCGTTCCGAGGTCTGCTCTCCTGGGACGCCGTAAATGGTAACCTTTGATTTGTCGATGAGATAGCTTAGGAGCTCATATTGAAGACTGGCCTCTTGGGCGATGATTTTGTTCCACTTGGAGTCTAGATATTCAACAACTTTTGGGATAGACTGGAGCAACTCGTATGATCCGGCAGCAAGACCGAGTTTGTCTTCTAGGGTGGCAGAGGGGTTGAAGAAATGGCCCAATGACTTGAGATGGGTCTGCGCGCTCCAACTACCGTAAAGCATAGAGATGTGAGGCCCGTAGACCTTGTACCAAGAAAAGCAGTAGAAGTCAACGCCAAGTGCCTTGACATCGATGGGCCGGTGCGGAGCATATGCTACGGCATCAACACACAGAAGGGCACCGACGCTGTGGGCCGCATCCGCCACGAGTCGCACATTAGTGATTGTTCCCAAGATATTGCTTGCATGTGTACAAGTGACGAGTCTTGTCTTTGGTGACAAAAGCTTGACCAAGTCTTTAGTAAGAAGTTGAGGGTTCACACCGGGAGCTGGCTTCCACCACTTGAGGACGAGATTCTGTCGCTCCGCCAGATCCACCCATGAGGCAATGTTGGCCTCGTGATCTATACGGGAAACGACAATCTCATCTCCCGGGTTGAATTTGAGGGCATATGAGAGATTGCGGAAAAGTTGGGTGGTCGAAGCGCCAAAGACGATCTCATCGGGGTTGGCGTTGATGTACTTGGCAGCGGCCTGGTATCCAGCGCTATAAGCGGCCGTTGATTTCTTGCCCACGGCGTAAGAGGCGCCGAGTTGCACATTTGTAGAGCTTAGATAGTCCCTAATGGAATCAATCACGGTATCGAGAGTCTGACTGCCTCCGGCGTTGTCGAAAAAGACCTGTTCCTGCTGGAGGGCGGGGAAACGATCCCGGACATCTTTCTGATGATGCTCAAAGGCCATGGCTTCAACTTTGATGTGAGGCTGATTGAAGTTGAAAATCTAAGAAGGGTAAATAACAATGAATATATTGGAAATTACAAGCCATTGCGTCAGAAAGCAATATATAATCCCAAGGACCTTTTGTAGTTTTGCTGCTGATGAGGGGCATCAGGAATTCGGTCATGATGAAACCGAGCGCCGATTGCCCAAACCGGCAAGTCCCCGCTAAAAGTTTCCAGATTGCTGGCCAAGGCCGTTTTATTAGTCAGTTGCTTTCCGAAGGCCGAAGCAAGGCGTTGCTCGACAATTGGTGGCATTTGAGGGGTAATGTGAGGATATATGGGAGGGGGATGGCGGAATAGGGCTCTTCGGTCATAAGACAGGGGCTATTTGAAGAGCTGATGGCGAATTATCTGGTGTTTTGGTCATTTTGCAGCAGGCCCCTGCGTTGTAGGGTATGTCATCCAACCAAGGGAGACAACAAGCTTAATAGCAGCGAACCCGGAGTTTGGAAGAGGAGTATCGCGTATATTAATACTGCTGGTCCTGAAGCTGTGATATTAGTAGGTAATAAATATTTATTTGACAAGTACATTGGAAATCATCGTTGCTGTCTCATAGAAGATGATGCAGAAGAAGTGAGACAAACAGCGTCATAGCTAGCTGCGTGGTGGACAGTCACCTTGACGATTAACCAAATCAATTCGAGCAGGTCGTCCAATTTGAAGAGATCAAGCAGTTCTATTATTCATAATTCATTCTCGACTAATAATTATAACATAGAACACCCATACTAATGCATTCTAATGCATCTCTACCATGATTGTAGCTGGGTTTCCACATTAGGAAATCAGCACAACTTTAGCTTGGTGGGGAAAAAGCAAGTGGTGCCAGAACATTGAAGGCGGCAGAAAAAAAAAGTTGGAGATGCGCAATCGGCTGATCTCGCAACTCGCCTCATGCCATTTCCCACCTCTTTTGCGAAAATCCTTTTCGCCCAATTCTTTTCGCCATTGACACTTCCGTAGCCAATTGCGCAGAGCCGGCCAGACGCAGCTCGCAACCATGAAGAGAAAGGCGGAAAGCAATGCTTCTGGCAAAAAAGCCGGCACCAAGAAGCCCAAGACCAGTGAGCGAGCCCTTCTTCTCTCCAGCTTTCCTCCTCTCCAGCTGGATGCTGACCTCGTGGGATTGTAGCCATAAGCCCACAAGACGCAAAGAAGCGCTTCCGCAAGGGTCTTTTCGACGACTCCGTTCTGGAATCATACACAAACGAATATGCAGAGTCTTCGCCGTACAAACACGCCGTCATCCACGAGCTGGTCGATGACAAGCTGCTCCGGTCGGTTCGAAGCGAAATCCGCGACAATGTACAATTCACCCCCAAAGAGACGGACATCTACAAGATCCACCAGTCCGGCGATCTCGCCAACCTGGATGGCCTGGACGACGAGTCTCTCGCCAAGCTCCCCTCGCTGCTTTCTCTTCGCGATGCCATTTACTCCGAGACGTTCCGCAACTACGTCTCCGGCATCACGGGCTGCGGGCCTCTGAGTGGCAGGAAGACGGACATGGCCATCAACATCTACACTCCAGGTTGCTACCTGCTCTGCCACGACGATGTCATTGGCAGCAGGCGAGTCAGCTACATTCTCTACCTGACCGATCCCGATACCCCTTGGAGGCCCGAATGGGGCGGCGCATTGCGTCTGTTTCCGATCCGGGAGATAAAGAACAAGGACGGCGAGATTGCCAAGACGCCGCTCCCTGACGTGGTCAAGGTCATTCCTCCCGCCTGGAACCAGCTGAGTTTCTTCGCCGTTCAGCCTGGTGAAAGCTTCCACGACGTCGAAGAGGTCTACCACGCCGAGACAAAGGAGCAGCTGGAGAAGGAGGGTGGTCGCGTGCGCATGGCTATTAGCGGTTGGTTCCACATCCCGCAGATTGGAGAGGACGGATACATCGAGGGAGAGGAGGAGAGAAACGCAAAGAACAGCGGCCTCATGCAGCTCCAGGGCAATCCCGCTCAGTACGATGCGCCGCAAGCACTCCCTGTCAAGGTCGAAGATGCAAAGGGCAGCGAGGCTGAGTTTGAGGAAGCAGATCTGGAGTTTTTGCTGCAGTACATTGCGCCGACGTATCTGACGCCTGATACGTTGGAGCAAGTCTCGGAGCACTTTGAAGAGAATTCGAGCATCACGCTTGGAGACGTCTTATCCAAGAAATTCTCCAAACGCTTGCAAGATTACATCCATGCACAAGAAAAGGCCAGCCTCCCCGAACAGAGCTCAGCCATTGAAAAGTCCACTTCCTGGAAGGTGTCAAAACCACCTCACAAGCACAGATATCTCTACCAACACCCCTCTACGTCAAGCAAATCTCGCAAATCAGTGGATGACTCGCCGATTTCAGAGCTGCTGGATAAACTCTTCCCGAGCCGTCAGTTCCGCAACTGGCTGCAAGTCGCGACAGGCTGCACGGTTGAGAGCCACGACGTCATGGCCAGGCGATTCCGCCGTGGAATGGACTACACCCTTGCCACCGGCCACGAGGGCAAGCCTCGTCTGGAGCTCAACCTGGGCCTCACCCCAACAACCGGCTGGGGAGACGCCGCCGACGACGAAGAAGAAGACGAAGAAGCCCAAGCCGAAAAAGAAGCCAAGACTAACGGAAAGAACATGAAGAAGGGCAAAGGCAAGGGCAAGGCCGTGGAGGAGCCAGAAAAGGAGGTCGTCGAGGTTGGTGGTCATGAGGTGTACATGGCTGGTGACGACGACTCCAACGAGGACGCGGCAGTGTACAAGTCTAGCGGGGATGACGACAACATCCTGTTCTTCCAGGCTGCGGCGTGGAACAAGATGACGCTCGTTCTACGGGATAGCGGTGCCCTCAAGTTTGTAAAGTATGTGAGTAAGAAGGCCAATGGCGACAGGTGGGATATCTCGGGTGTGTTTGAAGTAGAGGAGCGAGAAGATGAAGAAGAAGAAGATGATGATGATGAAGATGAAGGGGAAGAAGATGATGAAGATCAAGGGGAAGAAGAGGATGATGAGGATGAGGAGGTATTTGAAGGGTTCTCAGATTAGAATGCGTGGGCAAAATTATGACAAGTCAAGGGTTTATGAAGCATCTACGTGCATGCTATAGAAATTGTATTTTTACATTTGGTTGATTCTCATTAGCCTCTGTATTGGGGCCGGGTATCTAAATATCTCATGTGCTTGTTCTCCGTGAATTGCGCCTTATCCATGACCGTGATAGTAATAATACAAGAAACTCTCTCTCTCTCTCTGCCCAAATAGGTCCTGCACCTTCAACTTCAAGCCGGCGTCAAAGTCTCTGCAAATATGTCTGATAATTCTGACCGCAAGATTTCTGTAATGCCATCTGCTTCCTCGCTTCTCCCAGATTGCTTCAGATGATTGACCGTATCGTGACCTAGAAACGCGATCCACGGTATCGTGCCCATGCCCGTGAACTTGGCAAGGTTTAGTTTCTCGGGGCCCAGTGCCTGCACCAACTTGCGCAATCTCTTCTTGTCATTGAAGAACTGCAGGGCGGGAACGTGGTCGGGATGCGTTGGGTGATACAAGTGCAGATGCGCTGTTTCCACCGGGAACGGTCGCGGGAGCCGTTCGGCTGTGGCCATGTGTGCTTCAAACAGCTTTTCTGTTGGCATTGCCCTGCTGTATGCCTCTACTGTAGATAGCCAGGACACGGATCTCCAGGGCTGGACGAGGAGTTTGGGGAGTGACGGATTATGCTCAAAGAGCCGCTCTGCCTCGAGGATTGCCTGAATGGCCGCATCGAGGTTTCCGTAGTGGGACTGGCTCTTGATGCGGACAATCTGCGATAACAAAGAAGACGCACGAGCAATGCGCTGCTCTTCGGTGATGCCTGCGGACTCGTTCATGGTGCGTATGATCCATTCCCAGGCTACTCCCTCCATCTTCTCAGCGACTAGGAACGGAACCAGTGCTCGAACAAAGGCTGGCCTGTCCAGGAACTGAAGGTCGCCTTCCGCGCCGGCTGATCGAAGCCACCGAACAACTCGGAGAGCAGTATCCGAGGATGCCGCGGCAGGGGAGTTTGCCTCCGCAGCAGCCTCCATCTGATGCCCCTTGGCCACCAAGCAGCCCGTGGCAGCCTTGAGCGTCATCATGCCCCTCGACACGGCATGGTCAAACACATCCATAGGGTCGCGATCCGACACCCACATCGCCTTCGGCAAGTGGGCGGCGTTTTGTTTGTTGCTGCTGTTGTCGTAGCTGAACAAAGGATTGGAGAGGATGGATTTCAGATGCAGCGTTGCGGCAGACCGGCGGCGAGTCTGGAGCTCGGCATCTCCGGTCTTGACGGGCGCTGCGGCGCTGTCCGAGGACGAGCGGCCGTATTCGCGGTCCAGCTGGCTTCGAAAGGAGGCCTTGAGGCCATCGAGCAGCTTCTGCGACTGCTGTTTGGAGATGGGCAGGGGTTCGTGATAGCCGGCGAAAAGCTTCCGGAGCGACTGCGCAGACTTGGTGGAGAACATGGCGGGAGTTTGATCGGGGCGGTTAATTCCTCGCAAGATTCAAATTCAAATCGACCAAGTAGATTCGTCCAAGTATGGTAGTATCCATAAGCACTGTCTAGAAGGCAGGCTGAGCAAAGGGAGACAAAGCTGTGCGGTGCAGCTGTAGGGAGGCTTGCACTTGTCTCGAATTTGAGGCTGTTCCAGTGAACCAAGCGATATCAAAGAGGCAAGGCTACGGTACATGTACATTAGCCTCATCATGACATGCGGCCGAGTCATGTGATACATGGGCTGAGACTGGCCCCCAATTCGAGAGCTGCGGTGGAGCGTCCGAGTTCGCTAACTTTGCAGGCTAAGGGCTGCTGGAAGGTCAGGTACTGGTACAGCGACTTGCCACGTCTTTGACGCTGGGGCCGTGGCTCGGGTGGAAAGAGATGCGCTGGTGAGTACCGGTACAAGTACAGACACGGTGGCTCTTTGTCAGCTTGGGCGTGCGTTGAAGTCGTGCGACTTCCAAGTTCCATTCAATGGCCAGAATGTGCAGATGATTGGAAGCTTTGACGGCTAGGTACCTGTACTCGTGCGCAGGATACCGCAAACCCAGACTCTCAACTCTTACGGTAGCACCTGTTAGTGCAGGCCAAGGGTATCTCCTAGTGCAGCAACTAACCGGTCTCTTAGTAATAAGTAATTCTGGGCCATGGGCGAGGCTGGATGGAAAGGGAAAGACAAGGCGTGCGAAGCATATGGCTCTCGCGGCTGGGCCAATTGCAGAGCCTCAGACTCATTGCCGGCAGGCCATGCAAACATTGTCTAGGTCTCACCTGTGCGCTGCCTCGCTATTCCAAGACACAATGGGCTCGCAACGGCCCAACTCGATCAGAGCTTGGGGGTGGAGGGCTGCCGAGCACAGTGTCGACCGCACGGCCTGACAGGACTAGCCGCAAAGTTTAAGTGTGCGGGCGTCAGCTGCATCTTACGAGTCCCTGTGGGAAGCAGCACTGTGCAGATTCACTCGGCACAAGGTGCCTGTGCCAGTCCGGGTGCCCTTGCGCACGATCTGCGATTTCCAGCTCCAAGTATACAGTGCTGAGAGACAGTGCGAGAGAGAGGGAGACACCAAGCCTTGCCCCGGACCATTGGAAGGGTCTTTGTCAGTTCGAGTTGACGTTCCATCAGCGTCAATTCATGCGATAGAGTCCCAGAAAATAGCCCAGGTGCACGTAAAATCCTCCGTAGCAAGCATTGATGAATCACGTCAGAAAACTGTACCTGTACATGTGCTGCATCCCGCCGACCTGCTCGACTAAGCCGTGCACGCAGCCTCGTGCTGGCCGGTGGGCGGCGGGCGACGGATCAGGCAGCGGCCAGAGCCTGCTCCTAGCCCTATCCGAGCGCTGAACGAGCTCGCCTACCGCCCAACCTGCCCCTCCTTTGGGGCTCCGTTGGGGCTCCTTGGGGGGGCGCCTTGGGCGGCTTTGGTGCTGGATCTGGCACTGTGTTGCACCGAAACAGGTACCTGCTGCTGGGCTTTCAACGCGGTCAAGGGGGGCGTCACCAGGCGCTCAAGCCAAAAAACCTTCGTGACCAGCCTTTCGTCTGCTTCCGGGCAAAACCTCGTGCCCTCCACCTTTTGACCTCCCTTTGCCACAACACCACGCACCCTCAGCATCTACGGCTTCTCTCCTGAGTACGCTCGGCTCTGTTCTCTTCGTTGTTGTTTTTTTCTCCTTCTCTCCATCTTTTCTTCTCTCCATCTCTCTGCTCGTTGCACGCTCTGCAGAGGCCATCCGACGGGCCACTGCACAATTGCCACTTCCTTCCCATCTCCACATACCACACCTAATCAGCTTCCCATGTCTGAGGTCATCTCACGGCCATCTGCCTCACGCGGCAGAGGCTCCGGTCGAGGCGGCAGAGGGGGTTTCGCCGGTCGAGGCGGCCGCAGGGCCAATGGCGATAAGACGGATCACAAGACCGCCGACGACAACTTGGGCACCTTTGAGGATGAGGGGGAGTTTGCCGAGCTTCGAAAGCAGTATGGCGACAAGACCTCTGTGATCCGAGAAATGTTCCCCGACTGGTCTGAGGCCGACGTCCTCTATGCTTTGAAGGAGACGAATGGCGATGAGACTGAGGCTGTGACACGAATGGCTGATGGTACGTTTTGGGAGACAAATTTCTGCTGTTTGCCTTCTTTCCCAAACATGTTTCCCTTTCCCTTTTGCTGTCTGCAAAGCAGAAAGCTCGCATACAGCAGCTCAATCTCAGGGCGGAAGCCGATTTCACTCGTTCGCAGAGGCTCAATTTCATGTTTAATCGCTAATGCCCATTTTTTCCTTCTCTTTATAGGCACCATCTCCCAGTGGGGCGAAGTCTCCAAGACGAAGAAGACCGCTCGCACCAAGGCCAAGGACACATCCTCCGCACCCGTCAGCGCTGACTTGCCAGTCGGCGCTCGAACTGCTCGTGGTGGACGTAATGCTTCCGACGCAACTCGTGGTCGAGGCAGGGCTACCGACAGGGGTGGCCGTGGCGGACGTGCTCGATCGACTCATCCCACCAACGGATCTCGCACCAAGGAAAACCAGCAGCTGTCTGTGCCTACCGAAGAGTCCTCCGCATACAAAGACGACACGGCCAACGGCTTCGAAGAGAAGCCCGTGTCTGTTGAAAAGGCCATCCCCGCCGAGCCCGTGAAGCCCGTTGCTCCCCAAGTCAAGACCTGGGCTAGCATGCTTCGGCAGTCGACAGCTCCCAAGGTTGTGCCGGCACTTCCAAAGGAAATCCCTGCTCCCAAGCCCGCCGAACCCGTAGAACCCGAACCCGTCCCCGAAATCGCCCCTGTTGAACCTGAACCTGCCAAGCCCGAACCCGCAGCGGAACTCGAGGCCACTCCCGTTGTTGAGCAGGCCACTCCTGTCGTCCCCGCCGCCGCCGTCGAACCAGTTGCCGAGATACAGCCCTCTCAAGATGAGCTCACCGAGACCAATCTCGAACAGGTTGTTGATGTCTCTCAGCCACCCGCGACAGACACTGCCGCAAGCACTGCTGCTGACTCTTGGGACCCCCGACAGAGCCCTCCCAGCGCCAATGCCACTCCCCTTTCAGCCGCTCAGCAACAACACCAAGCCCAGAGAGCCGCAACTAGCGGTTATGCTGCTACTGCGCTGAAGGCTACCACTGAGAAGGTTGCACCCCGCACTCCCAGCTTCCAACGACGAGTTCTCGATCAAGAAGAGGCTGTCCGCATGCCGGGCAACCGTGAAGTGGATCGCGCTGCTGTGCAGTTCGGTGCCTTCAACCTCGAAGACGACGAAGATATCGATGGCGAGCGTGAGGAGGCAGAGACTCGAGCTCAGCCCCCAGCCGACTCGCCCGTTGCCGTTCCCAGAACTTCTCTTCCCCCGGCTTCTCAGCCTGTTGCTGTACCGGAAACCTATGCTCCTAAACCCACGACTGCTCCTCCTCCTGGAATGACACCTATTGGTATGACAAACCCCCCCCCCCCCCCCCTTTTTCCGTTTGAGTCGAACTTTTCTTTTCCCCCTTTGTCCTGGTTCCTTTGTTTAACCCTTGTATCCCTTGATTCTAATCATCCACGTAGCCGCTGCCGCTACCTCAGTCCAGGCACCCATCCCTTCCCGGCGTATGTTTTAATTGAGGTTCAAGGTGGTTGCGAGTATTTACTAACAGTTTCTTCTTTCAGCCGCTCAACAGCAAATCCCCAACGCTCAGCAATTCGGTCGATTCGGTCAGGCCGGTCCTCAGGACATCTCGGCAGCTCAGCAGAAGCCGCTGGATCCTTTCAACCAGGGCGCTCCCGCATCTCAACCGCCGTTCGATAACTTCGCGGCTCAAACTTCTCAACCCCCCGCGCAGCAGCCCGGTGCAGCCTTCACCTCGGCACCCAGTGACTACTCAGCCTACTACACCGCAAACCCTCAGGACCGAAACCCATACGCCTTTTACGGCCAGCACTTTGGCCAGCAGGGAGCACACGCTCAACCGGAGGGTGTTTCCTCGCAACAGCGGCCCTTTGGAGGCTACAACGCCTCTCAAACCGATAACCTAAGCCAGTACCCGCAGAGCGCTACTGGCCACAACCAGCCAAGATTCGGCGGCAGCAACGAGAACCAGAACAGCGGCCACTCCACCCCCAACCCCGTCACTCAGGCTCAGCAGCAACAGCCGCAGCAACAGGGAGGCCCTGGTTCTCAGCCTCAGGCTCACGGGCAATACCCCGGATATAGCCACCCATACTACAGCAACCCCTACTACCACCAATATTACTCTGCTGGATACGGCCAAGGAGGATTCGGTCCGTATGGCAAGGGTGCCATTTATGGACAGCCTTATGGCAATGCTCCGTATGACCACACCTCTTCCCCCGGAACATTTGGCCCCTCGTCCCTCCACAGAGAGAGCCCTCTTGGCTCCGGCCTTGGCGACTACGGCCGCGCTGGCTCTGGCCAGGCAGCCAGCCAGCCTGGCCTAGGAGGAAGCAGCTTCGGCAGCACCCACGACAGCTTCTCTCGAGGCGCCTCATCCTTCCAGTCCCAAGGACAGTCATTCAGCAGCCAGACACAGCCGAGCACCGGATCTTCGGCCGATGAGCTGAAGCCTTTTGGCGAGGCCAAGACCTCCTCTGGCCCCTCGCCCTCTCTTCCTCGGCCTGGCTCTGCCACGAACACGGCCCCCGGCGGACAAAGCGGTAGCCTCCCGCCTCCCCAGACGTCCCAGATGGGCGGTGCCTATGGTGGCTACCCAAGCCACTTGCAAGGCCACGGCCTCCACGGTAGCGGCGCATACGGCATGGGCGCCGGTGCCGGTGGCAACCAGCACAGCACCCCCTATGGCTCTTACGGCCAGGGCGGTTTCGGCAGCGGAGGCTACTACAGCACCGGACAGCAGCAACAGCAGCAAGGCCAACAGCAGCAGCAACGCGGCGGCTGGGGCGGAAACTACCATTAGTGGGGTAGATGCCGTGAAGGGAAACGACGAGGGCGATATCGCCGCGAGCGGGATGGGATCGCGCTCGTCATGAATCCAAGATTCGCGAAGGGGATGTGATTTTCCCCCTCCCACCCCCATCATTTTTCTTATTTTTTTTACTCTTTTTTATTTACCCTTGTTCTTTATTACAAATGGACTAGTGTGTATGTGCGCGTGCCACTACACTAAACGCCTTATGAGAGGTTGATTTCGAGGTACGGAAGAGGGAACAGGGCAGCAGCTACATGTGTGCCCCTCATGCAACAAGGATCGGGAATGGAGGCCGGAGAGAAAGAAAGGAAGTCTTGCTCAAGTCTCTTACTCGTTGATGCAAACGTGTACGATTGTTTCTTTTAATTTCATTTTTTTCGAGAATCACCTAGAAGAAAGCAGGGTGGGCGGCTTGGGCAAAATGGAAAGAAAGGGCTACGAGGATGGATGGGGAGCACGGATTTGTTTGATTGTCGTTCCCGCTCATTTGTTCCCCCTTTGGGGACTCTCGAGGGCAACCGAAAAAAATTGACTGGTTTTGTTGTGATTTGACGCATGGGTCTCATTCACTTTTTTTTGGGAGGGCCTCTTTTTTTTCTTTCCCGCCTGGGTATATCAAGTCGGCGGTGGTTTTACGGATAGGGCAGGTCATTGAAGAAGCAAATCACCATGGGGGGGAATTGAGATGCTTAAGTGGACACGGCGAATAGGCAGTCAACAAAAAAATGCAAACGTTTGATGAGTGCACGAACAAGAACTGGTTATTTGATGCGTTCCAATGGCAACCAGCCATGTAGTTTTTTTTTGTTTGTTTTTGTTTTGTCTTATTTGTGCCGTAGGCTGATGTCGTCTGTAGACTGCTGGACGAGGGATGCCAGCAGAATGAGCGACAATCCGCGATTTCGTATGGAGACGGGCAGTAGAGTACGGCCGAGGTGGATGGATTGATGCAGTTGCGCGCGTATTGAAGGCCCGATGTCTGTTGGGGGGGATCAAGACAAAATAAGGACAGCTCGAAAGCTGAAGTTGCATTGCTAGCCTGTTAGCTTCGTTCTTTGAGAGAGCCGACGGATAAGATGTTGTGTAAGTCGTTGAAGGTGATGAGCGTAAATACTCAGACGGCAGTGTCTTTATCTGAACTGTTGGAAATCTGGTCAAGGCAAGTTTTGAGCTTCCTTTGGCTTTTACTAACTTGGGATTGATACCGATCCAGTAAGCTACGAGATTGATCATCTGCCGATTTCAGCAGCCAAACTTACGAGTGTGGGCAACAAGGTCCTCTTTTGGCGTACCCTTGTATCTTCCTTTTTCATCTTACCGGCATGAAGAGTCGGGGAAGCTGGAACCCGTTTGTAGTCTGTATAATGTCCTATTTGCCGTGTTTGTTCCAAGGTTTGGGATGGCCGGGAGTCGGGGTGGTATGCCTTGCGGGCCTTGCTTGGGCTTGGCTTGTGGAGAAAGGTGATGGATGGGATGGGGAATTACAGCAAAGCAAAGCAAAGCAATACGGCATATCGCGCGCTTGGCCCGGTCCGAGATTGTGGGATATTGGGTACTGGTTTTTTTATTCACGTATGCAGATACGTTGTTGTGACGAGGTTTTCCCTTTTGTTATCTTAGTCTGAGGGCAGTTGATGTCATATGATGCAAGATTGATATATGAACGGCGTCCTTGCTCCTTTTTTTTTGTTTGACTTTCGGATTGGTGTTTGCATTTTTTCGGTGCAGCACGCAATACGCTTGGGATACTTCGTATGGGGGGGCGGCCGTTTGCACTTGATCCTGCCAAGTTTTCTTTTCCTCTCTCCCCTGTATATGCTGACGGACTTGTCACGAAAAAAGAAGATACGGTGGATTGTCTTTCTTGATTGATATTCAACCTTGTATTTTTCTTTTCTCTTGCGTCTTGGTTTCCCCTGTCTTGTTTGATTGAGGACCACATCGGGAGTAACACCAATTAATACTACCCAAAGCGGCGCCGGGTCTTGCAAATCTTTTTTTTTACGTTGTTTTTTAGGGGAGCTCCGGTTCCGCTCCGCTCCCGCGCCGGCGGCAGGAACGACGCAGGTCTCGGTGACACATGGCGGCTCTTGCCAAAGAATTGGGGATGAAGGCGGGGGTGGAAAAGGACGAGGATGGAGAGGCGAAAACTTCGTCTTCCATCACAATTCGTTCAAGAATTGGTGATGGTGATGATGAGATTGAGGACGGCAAACAGGCGGTGATTGCGACGAGCCGGCGTGTGTCCTCGAGTTTGGGCGGAGAAGGAGAAAGTGAACGGGATGGACGGGATGGAGATGGAGATGAAGCAAAGAATGATGGCGATCATCACGTCTTGACGCTGTCGCGGGCACGATGCATTGCGCTGGTGGCCACCGTCACGGGCGCTGCGTTTCTCAATGTAAGTGGAAATGGATGAAGCCTGCAGTTGACGACAACCTCTGTGCTCCGTCAACTCTACAACTTGCAATATGCATCAATGACTGACCAAATCATGATAGACCCTCTCCCTCCAGAGCGTCGTCATTATCCTCCCCACCATCGGTCGCCATCTGTCCATCCCCGAGAGTCGACAGCAATGGATCGTCTCCTCCTACTCACTCGCCTTTGGCTGCTTCTTGTTGTTCTGGGGCCGCGTCGCCGACTTGTACGGCAAGCGCCTCATCTTCGTGCTGGGCTCCATCTGGGTGACGGCCGTCATGGCTGCGAATCCGTTTGTGCCCAATGAGATTGGCTTCAACTTATTCAGGGGGCTTCATGGTTTGGTAAGGGCTTCCTCCATTTCTTCTTGTACTTTGGCTACTGCTAATCATCTCCTGTAACTCAAGGGGGCTGCCGCAAATGTGCCCACTGCGATTGGCATCCTGGGTGTGACGTTTCCTCCAGGCAAGGCAAAAAACTATGCCTTTGTTGCATACGGTATGATTACTTAGCACCGCTTCTTTCAAGTATGCTTGTATGAGCTGTGCTGATCTTCTTCACCCATCTCTCAGGTGCCGGTGCCCCTCTCGGAAGCGTCTTTGGGAACATACTGTCCGGCTTCATTGCCCAGTACTCCGACTGGAAATGGGTTTTCGGGGCTCTCGCCATCATGGGCGCCGTCGTTTCCATCTGTGGCATCCTTTTCATACCTGCTCCTCCAACGTCAGCATCCGATACGAACAGAAAAGGCCCGGCTTCGATTGACTGGATCGGTGCTACCCTCGTTACTGTTGGTCTCCTTGCTCTTATGTTTGCTCTTACCGAGGGCAACGTTGTAGGGTGGAATACCCCCTGGGTCCCCGTCCTCATCGTCGTTTCCATACTCATCATCGCCGCCTTTGCCGTGTGGCAATGGTACTTGGAACGCAGGTTAACGAGTGCTGTTCAAGCTGAATCGGATGCCGGTGTTGTCGAACAAGGAGAAGCCGTCTCGTCACCATCAAAGTCCCGCCGCCCTTTGCAGCCAGCTTCGTCCCTCACTCCGCCGCTCATTAAAGTCTCCATATTCCGCAACCTCCAATTCAGCGCTGTAATGGTCATCATGTGTGTTTTTTTCGCTGCCTTCAACAACTATCTCATCTACGCCACATACTACTTTCAAGAGTTCCAGGGTCTCCCCCCTCTACAGACCACGCTTCGGTTTATCCCAACAGGCGTGGGCGGTGCCGCTGTTTCCATCGTCGTTTCTCAAATCCTCGATCGCGTACCTACCGTCTTCATACTCATAATTGGTAACCTCTCCGTCTCAATCGCATGTCTCCTGTATGCTGTGCCTATTCCGCCGACGACGTCGTACTTCGCTTGGGGCCTTCCTGCCATGCTCCTCTCGGTCGTTGGTGCAGACACTACGTGGCCATGCCTCACTCTCTTCACCTCGCGTGCTCTCCCGAGAGAGCATCAAGCCATCGGTGGTGCGCTCATCAATGCTGTTGGACAGTTCGGTCGATCCATCGGTCTCGCCATCAGCACGGCAACTCAAACCGCCGTCATGGCCAACGCCCGCGGTGTTGCCGTCAAGGATGTCGGAAGCATAAAGGCGTGGGAACCGGAATCTCTCAAAGGCTTGCGTGCGGCTTCGTGGATGAATTTCGCCTTGGGAGTTGCGTCTCTGGTCGTTGTCTTGATAGCATTTCCAACGCTGGAGATTGTGGGCAAGGCCGAACCTACGCCAACCAAAAAACAGAGCGAAGGGATTATTCGTAGTACGGGGAGCGAAAAGCAGGAGGAGGCTGGCGACCCTGGACGTGACAGAGCATGAGCCCCTTTTTTATTTCAGATTCTTTTGATTTCTCTCTAACAATTTTTTTTATTTTTTCGTTTTGCATACTAGAACCATAAGTTGGAGCATTTAGAGCCATCACGATGAGACGTAAGCTATTTCCTCATTGGAGTATACGGACGCATTTACGATTAGAATGACTTTGTATAGATGAAAGAAAAAAGATATTCTTTAACATGCGCCTATGCAGTAGTATCTATTATGATGCCTTATTTGCTGGTATCGTACCCCTTATTTTCCAACTCTACTCCCCTGGGTATCATGCTGTATCATAAAGGAGCGTAAAAAAAATCAACGGAGAATGAGCGACCAGGACAAATGAAACCTTTCTCTCCCCCCAAACCCAATGAATTTGCTCAAACCGGTGAAATAGAAAAAAAAAACGCCCAAACTACCGCAAAGAAAACTTCCGTCTCTGTTTACTCCCCCTCACTGCCTCCTGGAAATGTCAATCTCGATTTGGTCGAAAATGTCGTCTTCTTCCTCCTCCACCTCCACTCCGTCAAGATCCAGCTCATCGTAATCCCTCGCCATCTTGGCAAGCTTCTTCTTCACCACGGGATCCTGCTCCATCTCCTGCCACAGCTCGAGATCCCACTCCTCAACATTGTCACCGAGCCGCTTCCTCTGCCAGGGCGGCCAGTGCCACAGGCCGGCGACGAGCATGGCGCGCCTGGCTGCCTTGAAGAGCAGCTCAATCATGCCCATGAAGGAGAGGACGATGAAG